AAAAAAAAAAAAAAAAAAAAAAAAATCCCAGTCCTTAGAAGGCTGAAAACAGAAGGATCACTATGAGTCTGATCTGTGTAGTGAGACCCTGTACTAAATATATTTGAAAAAAAATTTTTTTTAAATCTGGTGAAAAGGCCGGGTAGATGGCTCAGTGGAATAAGTGCTTCCCTGGCAAGAGCAAGGGCCTGAGTTCAATCCTCGTTTCCGGAAAATAAATAAATAAATAAATAAATAAATAAAATCTGGTGAAAGCAGGTGCAGGGGCGGGGGGTTCAATCTTGGGCCTGCCATGCTGGCCCCGCCCCTGGGGCACACTGAGACATTGAAACTGGGTGTGGTGGCACACGTCTGTAATCCCAGCTCTTGGGAGACTATAAACAGGCGGGTCACTACGGGTCAAGTTGATCTAGTAGTGAGACCCTGAACACCCTGTAGACCCTTCTGTAAGATACAAAAAACAAACAAGAAAAGGTTAATGTAGATGCCAAGTGCCACCCACTCAAAGGTAGTCTTGTGCAAACACGACCCTTTGTCCCCACCACCTTGTTGACCCCATCTGGCGCTGTGTGATTCCTGGCCCTTCACCAAAGTCAAAACGACCACAAACAGGAAACATTTTGACTCAATTCAGGAGGTTAGTGCAGAGCAACTGAAGACACTCAGGAAAGAGGACCCCAGAGCCGCTTCTGAAAGCGGCAAGAACGTGGGTTTGGAGGGAGCAGAGAAATGTTTGTTCTGTTCTGTTTCGGTTTTTCAAGAAAGAGTCTGGCTATGTAGCTCAGGCTGTGAACTCACTATGTAGCCCGGCTTGGCCTCAAATTCACGGTGATCCTCCTGCCTCAGCCTCCCCCGTGCTGGGATGACAGGTGTGCCACCACGTCCCTCTGGGGGAGGATTTTGAAGGGAATTCATGGCAATGCGTCTTTTACTGTAACTTTGAAAATTATAACACACATCATTTTTTAAAACTACACTTCACAGGGGCCGGGGAGATGGCTCAGTCGAATAAGCGCTTCCCTGGCAAGCGCAAGGGTCTAAGTTCAATCCCCCATTCCACCAAAAAAACCAAAATAATAATAATAATAAATAAAAATTTAAGCTACACCTCATAAATCCCTCCTGCTCTCCTCCACTGCCCCGGAGATTTTCTTTGATTTCTCGACTGTAAACAACCAGTCCATCCTGCATCCTGCAGCTCATTTCCACGAAGCGACTCCAACAACCAGCCGCTCTAGCGTGCGGCCTCCCGGCCGGCTCCAGCACCCGCCCGCCCGGAGCGCAGACAGGAGCCGGGGAGCCCGCGCTCTCTCACTCCAGCAGCGGGCTGCACAAACCAGACGCGTTCCACGAATCCTGAGCCAGAGGGGCTTCCCTGAGCCCACGGAGCCAGCGCGGGGAGCGCGGTGCTAGCGAGGGCCCCATGTCACCGTGTCGCCAGAATGGCCCCTGCAGGGCGCGCAAGCTCGCGGCCAGTGCTCCCAGCAACACTGCAGCAGAGGTCATTCCGGGGGAGGACCCGGGATCCACGAGGGGCAACGTCACTCTTTCTTGGCCTGTCATTTCCCCCCCACGCCCAGCGCTTTCTGCGTGTGTGTTCGGTTTTGAGACAGGCAGGGTCTCGCTAAATCACCAGGTCGCCCGGCTGGGCCAGAACTTGCGAGCCTCCTGCCTCGGCCTCGCAGCGCCGAGGGTCCAGCCGGGGCCGCGGCCCGCCCGGCTTGCTGCGTCCTTGCGCCTCCAGTGGCCAGGGCTGCCTCCCGCACTCGGCAGCTCCGCCTTTGCCTGCAGCACGCCCGCCCGCCCGCCAGCCCGCCCGGGTGCGAGAGGACGCGGCTCCGGCGGGCAGGGGCGCGGCTGCGACCGTCCCGCCACCAGGGGGCGCCACCGCCTTGTCCGACCCGGAGCCCGGAGTCTGAGCCCGAGCCGCGGGCTGCTCCCTGGCCCGCGGGGCAAGGCCGGCTCCAGGGCGGGCTCAACCCGTTTTTGCCGCGCGGGGAGACAGATACTAGCCTGGTCAGCCCCGCTTCAAGCACTCGCGCCGAGCGCCAGACAACAGCGGGAAAAGGGCCTTGTTGGGCAGGCCCCCGCCTCCGCTGTCCCCCAAGCCACGCCACTGCCCAAGATCTGAGTACATGTCTGCTCTCACCTGCTTTGGGGACCTGGGGTGGGGACAATGATGGTGACATGGTGTCCCAGGGCTGAGAGGGTCTAAAAGATTCCCACCCTACCAAGGCACTGGATCAGGGGACCCAGGCCAGCGTGGTGGAGCCACTTCCAGTGGCCCTGGTGGCTTGGAGGGACGTGGGCTGCTCTGGTCTCTCAGGGCCTTTTGTGGGCCGGGAGGAGACAGCCACCACTGTGATCGGGAAGGGAAGCCTCTCAGATCTCTGCAGCCAGGACAGTCTGCCTCGGCCATGGTGGCCTGAGCCAGCTCACTTAGAAAGAACTTTTTGGAAATGGCAGAGAGAAGCCTGGAGGCTTAGGGGCCCCCAGGACCACCCCATCAAACCCCTCACCTGTGACTGGAAGGCCCCGAGTTGCTGGGGTGGCACCCCACGGACGAGTGCGTCCAGGCCCCACTACCGTGGTGGCCCCCTTGGCCAGGTCCTCTCCCAAAGTGGGGTCTGAGGTCCAGGAGGGATAATCCTCGTCATCTGTGTAGCCTTGGGAGAAATGGGGCACGCTTGACCAGGTCCCCTGCCTCAAAGGCTCTGCTGCTAGGCCTCCCTTGCCTCCCAGAGTCTGCAGCAGCTCCCCAGGGCCCCACCCTGGCCCCCAGAGAAGCACCCTACTCTGACTCTGCTCCTTGGCCTCCTCCCGCCTGACCCCTGGTACCAGTGCAGGTGATCCCCACGTCTTCCTCGTGGTCACAGTTGTGCTTGCCCCAGCCCCCAGAGGGGCAGGCACTCAGCGAGGTCTCGCTTCCCTTGCAGCCCATGTCATCCAACCAGATGGGCCCGGTCCCGGGGCCATAGTGGGTCTTGCCCACTCGGGCCCGGACCTTTCCACATCCCAGTTCCCAGCAGGCCACAGTGGCATCCCGCAGGTCCCAGTTGTCATCGCAGACTGTCCCCCAGCGTGCAGCATGCCACACTTCTAGCCGGCCAGCACACCTGTTGGGCCCATCGGCCAGACGCACCCGGAAGGGCCCTGGGTGGAAGGCCCAGGGTCAGGAGCTGCAGCAGCCTTCCTGTGTGCCCCTCTCGCTTTGCCTCCTACTCACCTGATCCCCTAGGGATGCTGGCCGTGGGGGAGGGGGCCGGGGTCTCGGCAGATGGCTCCAGGGAGGCCCGATGGATATGCTCCATGGTGGTCTCAGAGGTCATTTCTTGGGGCCCTTGAGGGGACAACATGGTTGTGGTCCCTGAGGGCCACTCCCAGAGGGCCTGAGGAGTTGTCCTGGAGGTGGCGTTTGAAGCCCATCTGCGGGTAGTCTCCGTGAGCAGCTTTTCTGGTAACTCAGAGGTTCTTGTCGGGGAGGCCCCAGGGGCCAGGGTTGTGGTCTGTGAGGTCGGCTGTGGGGAGCTGTGGGTGCCCAGGCCTCTGGGGTGTTTAGTGGTGGGCGTCCTGGGAGGCTGAGTGGTCAGCCTCTTGGCACTTTTGGGCACCCACTTCTTAGTGCTTTTGGGGGCTTTCCCTGGGGCCCTGGTCGTTGTTTTCTCTGGAGCACTAGAGGTCAGGCCCCCAGAAGGTGTGGTGGCCAGCTCTCCTGGGAGCCAACTGTCCTGCTCTCTCCCCAGGCCAGGGAGCCAGCTCCAGCTGAAGGGGTCGGAGATGGTGTCCATGCCAGGACTCCCTGAGAGGTGAGCGGAGAAGAGAACACAGTGTGAGACATCGCAGTGACAAGCTTTGTCCAGCCCCCTCCTCCTCAGCCACGGACCAGATCCCAGTGCATTCATGGGTCAGAAATGTATGGAGGACCTCCTACTGTCACGCACTGTGTGAGAGAGCTGGGGAGACCACAGCAGCCGAAGCCAGCGCTACGCCCACCTCCCTGGCATTTACTGTAGATGTGACAGCCTCCTCGGCCCCTCGCTGTCCTTTCCTCTCCCCGGCCTCAGCCTTTGCTTTTAACGAAGGACCCCACATTCGGTGCCTCCTGGCGCCCTCATGCCCTTCCTCACTGACCCCTCAAGTGGTCCCCCGTCTGACAGGCCTATCCCTACCCTCAGACCCTCTGTATCTCTCCATGGCCCTCAGGAAGAGGGAGGAAAAGACAAACCCCATAGCATCAGGTGGAGTCACATTCCATCCTCTGAGTCACCACTGCTCACTCATCTTAAAATCTTTCTGATTAGCATGTAGACAGCCAAGGATCCGCCATATGCGGGAGAAGATTGGTCCCTTGCCCCTGGTTGCTGGGTCTTGGAGTGACTTGCCTGGCGAGAGAGCCTCTGCGCCTGAGGGATTTGGCCCAGGCACTACTCTCCCTGCCTGGTAAGCGAGCCTCTGTGTGCCCGAGGGGCTGAGCCATGCACTGCTGTCCCTGCTAACTGCATGATGTATAGCCAGCCACAGAAGTGGTCAGCCACAGCTCTGAGGTCACAGCCCTGTAGAGCTCCAGCCAAGCTGGGGGCACCCCCCCGTCAGCCACATTTGTGGCATCATCACACACTGTCCCTGGGAACATCAGCACAGTCTGCATGGCTCTGCTAGGAAGGGGCCCTGCGGCTCACACCTCTGGCTCCCATGTCCTGCCCTGCAGACCTGTTCTGGGGCTCCCTTTCACCTGAGCCTTTTCACCAGAATGGACAGGATCCATGGGCCAAGGGGACAGCTCAGTGGTCTAAAGCGCTTGCTTAGGCAAGTCTAGGCAATGCAAGGACCACTGTTCGATTCCCCACACCAGCCACGCCTGCCCCTGACAGGCTGAGCCAGCCACACACACACACACACACACACACACACACACACACACACACACAGAAACCCTGATCCATGAGTCTAAGGCCCCTCTGGTCCTCCCAGCAAGGCACTGAAATGGAGAGCATCTTGTGGACCCCCAAACTGTAAGGCGTCACCCCAGCTTGCAAGCACATGCTGTGCAGCTCTTTCCCTCTGAACGCCACGCGTTTCTCAAAGACCAGGACTGTGCACGGTCCATTCTCAGGGTCCAGCACCCTGCTCGGCTGAGGACAGGCCTCGGAATGGGGGGCATGAGCACAAGCACATGCCTCTGCGTCTCCCAGGGACTCTAGGTCCGCTTCTCTGAGGGAGGAAGCTTCGCTGGGAACCTGGAGGGAATCGGCTTGCCATTCCACCTCTGTGCGACTTGGGACAAATTGCTTAATTTCTCTGTGCCTCAGTCTGTTCGCTAGTAAAATAGGCAAAACATCCAGTGACCCAGACTTATCAAGTTGTACTGCAGTCATGTGTGGGAACGCACCGGGCCCAGGGCTGGGCTTGGGCACCAACATTCGTCTGATGCCCATGCCAACGTTCGTTTCTGTGCCCTTCTCCAGGAAGCCCTCCTGGACTTAGCGGGCGGCAAGGGCATCCTCACCAGCGCATGTGACCCCGACGTCCTCATTGTGAGCGCAGTTGTGCTTCCCCCAGGGAGCAGCAGGGCAGTCAGACAGCGCAGCCTCCGTCCCCACGCAGCCCACGTCATCCAGCCAAATGGGGCCCGCGCCCCAGCCAAAGCGGCCCGAGGCAGGCTCTGGCTGCCGAGGCCCCCCACAGCCCAGCTCCCGGCAGACCACGGCGGAGTCCTGCCGGTCCCAGCTGTCGTCGCACACCGTACCCCAGCGCCCATCATGCCACACCTCCAGCCGGCCAGAGCACCTGCTGGGCCCAGCCACCAGGCGCAGCTGGGGAGACCCTGAGGTAGAAGAGGTGCAGAGTTAGAGACAGGGAAGGTGGCAGCCTTGGAAACTGTGAGCCAAAAATAAGTCTCCTCCTCAAATGCGTGAATAGATAAATACATCTTTCCTCCTTAAAAAAAATTAAAGGGCTGGTGAGATGGCTCAGTGGTCTAAAGCACCTACTAAGAACAAGCTTAGCAAAGCACAGGGACCACGGTTCAATCCCCCAGCACCACATACCAGCCAGCCCGCTCCCTGGTGGGCTGAGCTGGCCACACACACACACACACACACACACATAAATAAATTTAAAAAAAAATTAAAAACAGAGAAACTGCTCTCGACTCTGCATCTTCCTTTCCCTGTCTTCTGCCTCTTCTTCCTCTTCCTCCTCCCCTTCTCGGATTTTTTTTTTTTTTTTTTTTTCCGGAACAGAAGATTGAACTCAGGCCCTTGTGCTTGCCAGACAAGCACTTATTCTACTGAGCCATCTCCCCGCCCCCTCCTTCTTGGATTTTTGAGAAAGGATCTTGCCACGCAGTTCAGGCTGCCCTCTCAACTCACTTTGTAGCAAAGGCCGGCCTCCACCTCACAGAAACCCTCCTGCCTCAGCCTCCCAGGTGTCGGGACTACAGGCCTGTGCCACCACGCCCCACTCTCCTGTCTTCTTCCCACGCATCCACCCATCTAGGCTTTCCTCCTCCATCATGCCTTGCTGGGTGCCAAGCAGCCGGGACTGCTGAGGTCTCTTCCGGCCCTCTGCTCTGGCTGCAAGGGACGAAGTCAGGCCTGGGTGGACGGTTCCTCAGAGAGCCAACCCAAATGACCACATGGCCCAGAACTCCACTAGCAGGGTGCTACCTCTGGTCAACTGAAAGCAGGACAGCCAAACATATTCTCATGCGAATGTTCAGAGCAGCGTTTTCCTCAACAACGCAGAGATATCCCAGCCATCTCCCCGAGTGTGACTAGGCAAGCGGAACATGGTGTTTGTCTTGGCAGTGACCTCAGAGATGTGGCCCCTAACGCATAGCAACAGACGCAGAAGTAAGGCCACTCCAGCCTCACCAAGGGAAACAGGCAGCAGCAAGAACAAGACCACGGGGTGGAAGAAAATGTCCACACACCACAAATATCCTAAAGGGTTAAGTGTGAAAATCTGTAAGGAATTCCTCCAACTCAATAGTTGTTTTCTTTTTTAAAGGCAACCTGATTTAAACTGGGCTAAGGACTTGGGCCTACGTTTTGTCAGAGACAATATGCAAAGCACCAACAGGGATGAAAAGCATCTGTCACTGCCCACCAGGGGATTGCAAATCCGAGGACATCACCTCCACCTGTGAGGAGGGTCCCCGAAAGACGAGCGTTGGTGAGATGCGGAGAAATTAGAACCCTCCAAGACTTCGCGGGAACGCAAGGTGGTGCACCATGACGGCTCCCGGAGAGACTAACCCAAGCTGCGACAGACCCCGCTGCCCCTTCTGGCTGCAGATCCAGCAGCATAGGACCTCAAGGAGACCCCAGCAAAGCGTTCCTAATGACTGAAACGTGGAAACAACTAGAAGGGCATCAGCTCAGGAATGGACAACAACAGTGGCGTCCGCACATACAACAGAACACCGTGCAGCCCTTAAAAAGAACGGAGTGTCCCTTGTGAAAACATGGACGAACCTTAAGGACATCGTGGTAAGAGAAAGAGCCAGCTGTGGTGGTGCACGTGTGTAATCCCAGCACTCAGGAGACTGGACTACACGGTGAGAACCTGACTCAAAAAAAGTGGCAAAGTAGGGACTGGGGAGACAGCTCGGTGGTCTGAGCGCCTGCCGGACAAGTGCAAGGACCCGGGTTCGATCCCTGGTACCTGAGTGCCGTGCCGGCCACCGAAACCGGGCTTGGTTGGTGCACACGTGTAATGCTAGCCCTGGGGAGGCTGCAACAGATCACTGTGAGTCTGAGCCCCACAGCGAGACCCTGCACTAAATAAATAAACAAATAAATAAATGACTAAAAAAGGGGGCAAAGTGGAATGCTGATGGCCGGACACTGGTACTTAGTGGGTGTGGAGGGAGTTTCGGTGTGGGAGGTCGTGACAAGTGCTGGAGGTGATGGGTGGAGGCAGCTACACAGTGGCAGGACCAGGACTGATTCTTTTTTTTTTAATTTTATTTATTTATTTATTTATTTATTTATTTATTGTGTGTGTGTGTGTGTGTGTGTGTGGCCAGCTCAGCCCACCAGGGGGCGGGGCTGGCTGGCATGTGGTGCTGGGGGATTGAACCGCGGTCCCTGTGCTTTGCTAAGCTTGTTCTAAGCAGGTGCTTTAGACCACTGAGCCATCCCACCAGCCCCTCTTTTTATCTTTTTTTTAAATTTTTTAATTTTATTTTAACATTTATTTATTTATTTTGTGTGTGTGTGTGGCCAGCTCAGCCCACCAGGGGGCGGGGCTGGCTGGCATGTGGTGCTGGGGGATTGAACCGCGGTCCCTGTGCCTTGCTAAGCTTGTTCTAAGCAGGTGCTTTAGACCACTGAGCCATCCCACCAGCCCCTCTTTTTATCTTTTTTTGTTGTTTTGCTGTTGTGTTCTCTTTAAAAAGAATTTAAGATAAATAAATACAGTTAGTACCACTGAGCTCAGTACACTTAAAAATACTTAAAATGCTAAATTTGTGTTGTATATAAAGTTAGGCATTGCTTAATTTTTTATGTATTTAGTACAGGGTCCACAGGGTCTCACTACACAGCTTGGACTCACAGTGATCCTCCTGTTTTCAGCCTCCCAAGTGTGGGGATTACGGTGCGCACCACCATGCCTAGTTTCAGTTGCCATCTCAGTGCGCCCCTGGGGCTGGGGCCGGCACAGCATGTGGTACCAGGGATTGAACAGCAGTCCCTGCGCTTGTGTAAGCAGGCGTGTTAGTCCACTGAGCTATCTGGCTGGCCCTTGCTTAACATTTTTGCTTTCTTTTGGTTTTTGTCTTTCTGAAACAGGATCTCACTATGCAGTTCAGGCTGGCCTTGAGCTCACTTTGTAGACTGGACTGGTCTTGAACTCACAAAGATCCTCCTGGCTCAGCCTCCCGAGTGCTGGGATTACGTGTGTGCGCCACCATGCCCAGCTGGCATTGCTTAATGTTAAGGCTACATCCTGAGAAGCGTACTGTCAAGCAGTGTTGTCATGAGACATCAGAGTGTACTCTCACAGACTAAGACGGCCCAGCGTCACTAGCAGTCTGATCTCACAGGGCCACCCGTGCAGTGCAGCTGCCGAGCAAAGTGTCATTGTGGGTGCAGGAATGTATCGTGCTACAATCCCAGGAAGACACATTCAGGCTCAGGGACAGACCACCTCTGCCTGGCTCTGGCCTTCGCATTTCTGCTGTGCCGCCTCATCTGAACGCGGGGACTGCAGCGCTGCCCGCGTCCTGGTGCAGCCAGCCATGGGAGCCGGCAGATGCTCAGCACACGTGGGCTGCCGTCACTTGGATGACCAGAGGCCTCCGGGGTGGTGGCTGGGTGAGAGCAAGTCCCCTCGTGTTCAGCCTTTCCAGCACCGAACCTTTCTAGCATCCCACCGGGTCATTCACACCGGGGCCTGGCTGACTCCCCGGCAGGACTGAGCCTTCCGTGCCCGCCAGAGGATCAGATCCACAGCCCACGGCCAGCCTTCACCACTGTCCACATCCTTCACCATCCCGGGGCCAGGTTCCAGACAACCGGGACAACCTGACGACCCAGAGCCCCACCAGCACGCCCCTTCTCCTGGGAACCTCGAATACCAGACTCTTTGGCCACGGTGGTCTCCGCCTGTGATATTACTATGACATCAGCATGCCTGAGCGACAGTGAACCTGCATTTGAAAATCTCCACCATCCTCAAGACCCGCGGGAAGGAGGCCATTTACCCCCATTTGCAAAAGGAGCAGCCTGGTTATATGCAAGTTTGCAGTGTCAGCACTCAAGAGGGTGAAGCAGGGGGGATCTCTGCGAGTTCAAGGCCAGCCTGGGCAACATAGTGAGCTCAAGTCCAGTCTGAATTACATAGCAAGACCTTGTCTCAGAAAAACAAAAATAAACAAGCAAATAAAAAGAACCAGAAAGCTTCCCTGGGGCCAGCGAGATAGCTCAGTGGACTAAACACCTGCTTAGGCAAGAGCAGGGACTAGAGTTTGATCCCTGGCACCACGGGCTGCTCTGCCCCCACCCCCGGGCACACTGAGCTGGCCACCGAGTCCTGGCATGGTGACACGTGCCTGTAATCCCAGCGCTGGGGAGGCTGAAAAAAGGAGGATCACCATGAGTCCAAGCTGCATAGTGAGACCCTGCACCAAACAGATTTAGAAAGAAGGAAAGAAAGAGAAAATAAAGAAAATCTCTCTAGCAAAAAGGCTAAGTGACTTCATTAGCAGAGCTGGTCCAACAACTTCGTGACGGTAGCACACCCACACCGTGGGGCACAGGGAGCCAGAGGCTTGCGACAGTGGGCACTCAGCTCACCCTGCTTCTCCTGAGGCCAAGCTAGAGAAGGAGGCCCTTGTTCAGACAGGATTAGAGATATTAGGACGCAGCTGGAGAGCAAGAAAACCAGCATGCTTCCTTCTGAGACAGAGGCCCGCGCCCCTTCACATCTCTCTTGGTGAGAGGGCCCCAGGAGCAGACCCCAGCCAGGAAAAGGGGACTCACCCGCGTCCGGTCCCGGCTCTCGCGGGGTAGTAGGAGAGGCTGCAGGAAGCGAGCTGCCAGCTGTCCCTGGAGCCAGGCTCGCTGTGCGGGCCGTGGGTGGGGTGGCCGCCTCTGTGGATACTGGGCTGCTGCGGTCCCCTTCAGGGGCTGTGGGGACCACGTGGCCAAGGGGCATGCCTGAGGCCGGGAGAAGAGATTCCTGTGCCACTCCTTTGGGGGACACCAGGCTGGGGTGGGTGTGAAGAAGCAGGGAAGCAGAGGTGGGCAAGCTCAGCATCCAGAGGGGAGAGGGGCCCCGACCCCAGGAAGGTGCCAGGAGGCGGCCCAGCACCAGCCAGGTCTTTCTCTGTCTGGGTCGAGGGTGACATCCCGCGCTCCATCCCATGTTGAGCAGTCGCCCTGGCCTCTACTTCCTCTCACAGCTCTGCCAGCCCCAGCTGTGACCTTCTAAACGTCTCCAATGCCCCCCAAAGGGCAAGAATCTCCCGCCTGAGAATAGCTGGTGGGGACAGTTCCAGACAGACGTGGGGTGCGGCAGGCAGGCAGCCTGAGCAGAGCATGCGGGCAGAGCGGGGCCACCCCTCCAGTCCTTGGGCTGCCTCTGGGCACCTGCCCCACACCCTCACCATCACACACAGCCCCCGCATCCTCGCGATGGTGACAGTCGTGCTGGCCCCAGGGCCGCGCGGGGCAGAATCTCAAGGCTGTCTCGTTTCCCAAACACCGGAGGTCATCCAAGACTATGGGGCCGGACCCCTCCCCAAAGAAGGCCCCACCGGGAGCGGCCAGCGCTGCCCCGCAGCCCAGCTCCCTGCAGACCACGGCAGCGTCACGCAGGTCCCAGGCATCGTCACACACAGATCCCCAGCGTCCCCCATGCCAGACCTCCAGGCGGCCAGCACAGCCATGAGGCCCATCGGCCAGGCGCAGCCTTGGAGCAGGGCCTGGGGAGAAAAGCACAGGGCAAGTGGAAAAAACAGGGAGTGGGGTGGGGGGCTGGGGGGGCTGAAGGAGGCAGGGGACAGGGCCGTCCCACATACCTGTGCAGACCAGGCCAGCGTCCTCACTGTGGTCGCAGTTGCTCCGGCCCCAGGGGCTTCGGGGACAGTCCCGGAGGGCCTGCTCGCCTCCTCCACACCCCACATCATCCATCCACACGGGGCCCGATCCAGGCCCGAATCGGGCACCCCCGGGGGCGGCCAGCGCCCCCCCGCAGCCCAGCTCCCGGCAGGCCACCGCAGCGTCCCGCAGGTCCCATCCGTCATCACACACGGTGCCCCAGCGGCCGCTGTGCCAGACCTCCAGGCGGCCGGCACAGCTGTGGGGGCCCGAGGCCAGGCGCAGCCGCTCTAGGGGAAGGCAGGGAGGGCAGAACGGTGGCAGGGCAGAACCTGCATCCTTGCTGGTAGGACTAAGCCTTTTGGGGTCGCTAATGGGGGACAGAGGTCTGGGGGTGCCTACCTGGGCGGGGGACCCCAGTCGTCAGCAAAGGGGCTCGGGTGGACTTGGCCTGCTTGGGTGGCCGGGGGCTTTTCTTCCGGGGACCACTCTGGGGGCCCCCAGCTGGGCGGGGGGCTGGGGAGGAGACAGTCGGGAGCCAGGCCCTCATCCTGCCTGCCACCCAAGGCCAGGAAGGCAGCCAGGGGGACCAGCCTGCTGTTGGGAGGACCTCGGGGCTCACCATGAGTTACAGGGGGCTCCTTGGAGGCAGGGCTCAGCTCTGCAGACAGCCCCAGCCACAGTTCCCCACCCAGCGGGGAGGTTGAGTCATCCCGGGAGTCTGCTACCCGCTGGCCTGCAGAGAGGGTAGCCAGAATGGGGTCACTATTTGTCCCTGAGAGGTGTAGGACTGACCCCAGGAGTCCCTGACTATAAGTGGGGGGTCCCCAAAGGTGGGACTCCTGCCTTTAGAGGGCTGCTGAGCAGCTCAGACTCGGGGGCACCGAGGACCTGGGCTCGGGCCCTCTGCAGGAGGATGCAGACTGGCTCACCTGCGCAGACCACGCCTGCGTCCTCCTCGTGCGAGCAGATGTGGGCCTTCCAGCCCCGGTGTGAACAGAGGCCCAGCCGCCCCTCTCGGCCCTGGCAGGCCAGCTCGCTGAGCCACACAGGCCCGGTGCCCTCCCCAAAGAAGGCACCCCCAGGAGCGGCCAGCGCCCCCCCGCAGCCCAGCTCCCGGCAGGCCACCGCGGCATCCCGCAGGTCCCATCCGTCGTCACACACGGTGCCCCAGCGGCCGCTGTGCCAGACCTCCAGGCGGCCGGCACAGCCGTGGGGGCCCGAGGCCAGGCGCAGCCGCTCTGGGGGTTGGAGGAGAGGTGTGGTCCATACCAGCGCGCACAGGCCAGGGCAGGGGTGGGCGACGGGCCGGGCTGCCCAGTGGGTGCTGAGGACACAGCACGCCAGATCGGACACTGAGGTGTCCAGAGGGGACTGAGGACAGCAGGGAGGTCACAGCAGAGAAGGGGCAGCCAGACGCCTGGCAGAGGGACAGGACGGGGCACAGCAGGCAGGCAGGGAGGACAGGGATGCTCAGGGACACTCACCAACTGCCTGGGTCCCCAGCAAGGCCACTGCAAGGAGGCGGGCAGCCGGGGTGAGGGAGACACAGAGGCCTCCCACCCAAGTGGAGCCCTGCTCCAGGGCTGGGGGACACTCGGCCTGGCGGCAGAGCCCCGAAGGTGGGCTGGGGACAAGGTTGGATGGTGGGGCCCCGGGGTCAGGTCCCTTGAGTGCTGAGGCAGAGACAGGGCCTGAAGAAGGCTGGGTCCAAGGGACCAGCAAGCAGCCACAAAGCAGGGTGTTCCAAAGTCGGGAGCCATAGCCAGGGTAGGTCACTCACCAAGGAGGCAGGCCAGGACCCTCATGGGTGCAGAGCCTGGGGCAGGGCTGGGGCCAAGGGGAAGGAGGAGGAGGCAGCGCCCAGCCAGGCGCCCGGGAGCAGGAGCAGCAGGCAGGGCCCAGGCCTTGCAGGAAGGAGAGAGGCTTCGGGAGGGGCTGGGCTGCGGGGCTGGCTGGCCGGCGAGGCTGGGGAGGGAGGGGTCCGCAGCAAACACCCACTTGAGGGGAGGCGGCCAGAGCTGGGAGATGCGGGAGGGCCAGCCCCTGCCCCCTCTGTCCAGCCAGAGAAGAACAGTGGGGAGCAGCTGCAGGGGCCTCCTGGATCAGGAGAGGCGCCCAGAGACCTCCTGCAGACACCCACCAGGCAGGGCCAAGGGGAGCACGTGAGGCTGAGGTCCCCAGAGGGGGAGCAGAACTCAAGTCCTTGGGCAGGAGGGTGGGATGGCCAGGGGTGCAAGCTCAAGGAGGGGGTGTTGTGAGAGCACACACACACGCTCCACACCAGCCAGCTGTGAGGGGAAAATCTGGTAATGGGGAGCGTGACTCAGAAGGGCTGGCAGGGACCGGGCCATGAGCTCACGAGCTCCCGCCTGCTCTGTTCTAGCCATTAATGTCAACTGGGAGAGGAGGAGCCAGACATGAGGGGCGGAGGGGTCGGGACTGGAAAAGGCATCAGAGATGAGGCAGCGTGGTTCCAGCTTTATTAACAAATGGGTGTAAAAAACCAGATGGGGCCGGGGCCCTGCGCCCAAGGAGCTCTGGACCCAGGCTCCCAGCTGGGAATGCAAGCTTGCTTGGCCCCTCTCCCACCCCAAGTGCATCCCCTGCGGGTCCACGAGTCCACACGCAACACAGGCCTGCGGCCACATGAGTACTTGGGCCAGGGGCTGGGGTGGGCGCAGCTCTGGGAGTCGGGCAAGCAGAGCTCTTTGTTCACTCAAATCAGATGCAGCACAGCATGTGGAAGGAAAGGCTGGCCCGGAGCAGGACAGCAGGATGGGCAGGCGGGTGCTCCTGTCCTCGAGCCTGTGTCCTCCTGGGTTGGCGGCTGCTGCACAGGCGCCGCTTGCTGGCTGCTGGGCTGGGCACTGCACTCCTCCGCTCTGGCCCCACCGAGGTCACAGGTCTTTGCTGAACTCCTTCACCAGGGTGTAGCCCATGCAGCCCCAGCCGCCCTCGGCCTGGTAGCCGCAGCCCTCCAGCAAACCCACTGCCCCCCATGCAGCCACAGCCACTGGGACCACAAGCCGGGCCCGGGGCTCCCCCACACCGCCTGCCCAGGCTCTGGCCCGGGCCTCAGCGAAGGCCAGCAGCCTCTTGCCCACGCCCCGGCGGCGGTGCCAGCGGGAGACAGAGAGGCGAGTGACCCGCGCTCCATCCCCTGAGGTGGTGCCAGGGGCCAAGGCCAGGACCCCACACACATCCCCAGAGCTCCGCACAGCAACCCAGGGGCCCCCCAGGCTGTCAGGAGGAGGCAGAGAACCCCACCGGGCTCGAAGGCCCAGCTTTACAGCAGCCACGGCCAGGAACACAGGCAGCAGAAGGGCCAGGGCGAAGGAGGCCAGCACAAAGCGCAGGCCACTGCTGGCTGCAGCCAGGAGTAGCAGGGCAGGCGGCCGAGTGAGGGCATGGAGAGCCACGCGGTTTTCCGTGTCCTTCACACCAGCCTGCGGGAGGGGGAGTGGGGGATGTCAGCCATCCAGCCTGCGAGAGAGCCCTCGGGGAGGGGCGGGGCGAGCAGGAGGGAAGATAGGTGGAGGGGGCGAGTCAGGGGCCATGGGTGGGGCACCCACCATAAGGAGCCAAGGAAGTGAGCCTTAGAGAGTGGGGCAACCGAGGCCACAGCCCTACTTAGCAGAGGGGTTGGAGGCTGGACAGCTGTTTAGCTGTCTGCAGGGCAGACCGAGAGAACTGGTGCTCTGAGTTCCGGGGCCCTTGATCTGCTAAGGCACTGTGGGCTGGAGTGCAGGTCGGAAGGAGACGCTGAGACGAGGACCCACGCAGAGAAGTGGCCCAGGAATGCAAGGCCCCTGGTGGCCTCCATGCGGGTCGTGGCTGGCTGGGGCGTAGCCCAGCCCACCTACAGCGCTCCGCTCTCACCTTCAGCATTTCCAGCACTAGAGGCTTCTCATCCTCCCGCATCTCCCGCACGGACAGGTGGCTGGGGGCCATAACAGCCCCCAGGCTGCCGCCCCTGCAAGGGAGCTGGCTGCGCCTGGGGAAAACGCGTAGTTTAGCATCAGGGGGCACCTCTGTTCCCAATACCCCCAAGGGATTTTCCAGTCCCGCCACCTTGGACGTTGGTGAGATGGGCGCCCCATATACGGCGACCTTCCCGGTCTCCCCATTCTCTCCCTGAGCCCCGGGTGATCTCCCCAAAACTCGCTGCGAGCTTTACACCTCACAGCACCACCCCAGCGCCGTCATGCACGACCCCTCCTCACGCAATCCCCGCCCCGCTGCAGCGCCCCACTCCCCGAGCTCGCCACAGCTCAGTGGTGCAGTGGCAGATCCCGCGAGCACCTCCAAAGGTCGCTCAGAGCCTTTGACAAGGTGTAGGGACCGCAGGGTCGAGAGGGGGTCGCTGGCGGAAGTGACGTCCACTCGCGCACGGAGGCGGGGCTGCGCCAGCTCTGGGCCCTAGCAACCGTTGCCAAGCTCCCCAGCGAGGAGCTGGCCAGGAGCGACATTCGCACAGCTTGTCCGCGCGGGGGACCTCTCCAGCCACTGCGGAAAGGTGGCTACTGGCAGGAGGGGGCAAGAGCGGTACTTACTGGCCCAGGAAGACGCTTCGACTTGAGCGTGGGGAGTAAGTGGCGAAGTGTGGGCCGAGTGTTCTGGGTGCCCATCCCCAGGGACCTGTACCCGACCCCACTGCGCCTGGGACGGGTGTCCTTCGAAAAAAGAAGCTCCCCCTACCCATTTTTAGATGAGGGCAGCAGCGTGATTTAAAGCGACCAGGTGCCAGACCCTGCACTCCGAGTCCAGTGCCTTCCTGCCAGTGGCCACATGTCACACACACACTTCTTCAAAGGATAAGGCAACTGAGCGCTGAAGCGGTTGGATGGCAGCGACCCCAAGATTCTTTTTTTTTTTTTTTTTTTTTTCTGTATTTAAGGGTGTTCGGGGTCTTACTACTACATCGGCCTCGTATTGATTCTGTTTACAGCCTTCCAAGTGCTGGGATTACAGGCCTGCGCCACCACGCCATCTCGGCCCCAAGATTCTAATCCAAGTGAGTCACCTGTGAGCCAGAAAGACTAGACTCCAAAGCCACCCCCCCAGCCCACCGCATCCTCCTTCCCCGCCCCCCCCAAAAAAAAAAACACAGCAAAAGAGATTCTGAGACTTTATTAGCAGTCTCCTTTCTGCTGGGCGGACCCCAGGCCAGTCAAAGGCAGTGAGTTGGAGCCTCAGAGGTGGGTCTCCTCAAAACGTGTGCACCAGCTGGACAGCGGGCAGCGTCTGCACGATCTGGATGGATGGCAGAGTCTGTGGACTCACGACCCCAGGCCCGGCCCCTGCAGGCACCACCTGTACCACCTGGGGTGAAGGGGCCGCAGATACCGCTGCAGGGGCAGAGATTGGACCAGGGGCTGAAGGGGCCAGGAGCTGCAGCGTGGTGGTGCCTCCCCCCACGCTGTTCGTCTCCAGCAGCTCCGCAGAAGGGGCACTGCGGATGATGAGCAGTTTCTGCCCAGGTGGGGCCGAGGCCGGAGGCTCGGGCAGCCCCGAGGGCAGGGTTTCCACCTCTTGCACACACAGGCGCGTCTGCTCCCCATCCGCCCCGCTCAGCACCAGCACACTCTGCAGCCCCTCCTCTGTCTGCAGTGTCTCAAAGACGACATCCTGCACCATGCCCGCATTGGCCTCACCATCCCCGGCCTCTCCAGGACCTGGGGCCGCAAGCAGTTCCTCTGCTGTCTCACTCTGGACCACCAGCAGGTTCGGGGTCTCAGCGGTCACTGCTCCTCCACTGGAGCTGGACAGCTGGCCTGCCAAGGGCTGGAGCTGGACCGTGGTCACTTCCTGGGCCGGCTGGAGCTGGACTGTAGTCACTTCCTGGGCCGGCTGCAGCTGGACCGTGGTCACTTCCTGGGCCGGCTGGAGCTGGACCCCACTAACTTCCTGAGGTCCTGCGTCTCCACTCGCTACATTCTGCAGGACAATTAGGCTCTGCCCTCCCCCACTGGCCCCTGCTCCATTCCCTCCCTGCATCCCCAAGCCCCCAGGGCCTGGCAGCCACACCACCCCTGTGCCCTGGCCAGCCTTTCCCACAGTCCGAGGGCCCTGTCTGGCTGGGCTGGGCCCAGCACCTGTGGAGGGCAGCAGGATGAGCTTAGGGGGTGCGGGTGGGGGCGGCGGCTGGACACTGCTGGGGATCAGCTGGAGGCCCTGGGCTGTCTGCACCAGGAGAAAGGTCTGGGAGTTGGGTGCCGTGGGGCCAGCTGCTGGGGCCTGGGCCGTGCCCCCAGCCACCTCAAGGGAGAGTGTGGCCTGGAGGTGGGGGAGCACGTGGACATCCTGCGTGGCCAGTGGGGTGGGGGGCTGGGCACCAGCTGCGGCGGCTGAGGTGCCGGAGGGCGCCTGGGCAGGGGTATGCGTCCTCATGTGCCGTTGCAGGTAGGCGGCCATGACAAAGCCGCGGCCACACACGGGGCAGGCAAAGGGGCGCTCGGCTGAGTGCGTGCGCTGGTGCAGCAGCAGGTTGGACGAGTGCGTGAACGTCTTGGGGCAGAGTGCACAGCGGAAGGGGCGCTCGCCCGTGTGCACGCGCTGGTGCTGCCGCAGGTTGGAGGTTTGCGCGAAGCTCTTGCCACACACACCGCATGCGTGAGGCCGCTCGCCCGTGTGCACATGCCGGTGGCGCCGCAGGCACGAGGTGTTGCGGAAGGCTTTGCCACATTCGTTGCAGGCATAGGGCCGCTCGCCCGAGTGCAGACGCAGGTGGTACTGGTAGTGCGATGACCACTTGAAGGTGAGGCCGCACTGGCCACAAGTGAAGGCACGCAGGCCCGTGTGCACCCGCTGGTGGATGGCCAGCAGCGAGGAGCGCTTGAAGGCCTTGCCGCACTCTCCACACTGGTAGGGCCGCTCGCCCGTGTGGTCCCGCAAGTGGTAGCGCAGCCCAGAGGAGCCCTTGAAGGCCTTGCCACACTCTGCACACTTGTAGGGTCTCTCTGTGGAGGCTGGGGCAGGTAGCGGAGGGGCGGGGGCGGCAGGCACCAGTGGCTCCTGGGGACAGGTGACCTCGGCAGCTTCAGCCTGTGGGGGCGGGCGCCCAGCAGCAGCCTCCTCCACGTGGCTCTGCTGGTGTGCCAGGAGGCTGGCCAGCTGGGGGAAGGCACCGTCACAGCTGCCACAGCGGAAGGCCTGCCCGCCCGCTGCCCGGTGGCTGTGCTGGTGACGGGAGAGGCCGGTCACAGTGCGGAAGGACTTCCCACATGGCAGGCAGGTGAAGCCTGGGGCAGCGACTGCGGAGACAGGAGGGGGCTGCGACAGGGGCGAAGGCAGCGGGGACAGCGCCGCAGGAGGCTCAGACTCTGATGCGGTGGCCTCAGGGGCAGGTGCGTCCAAGGGCGAGGCGGCAGGCCCCGGGCAGGGCTGATGCTCCAGGAGCAGCTCCTCGCTGCCAAAGCCCTGCTCGCAGCCGTCGCAGCGCAGCACCAGCTCCACGGTGGTCTCCGCCGCAGCCAGGAAGAGCTCAGGTACCACAGGCGGCGGCGGGGGTGGCGGGGCAGGGGGCGCGGGCGGGCTATGGGCCGGCGGGGGCCGCTGCAGGAAGCCTTCGGCCACAAGGTCAGGGCCAACCCCGCAAGGCTCTCGGGGCGCAGGTGGAGGAGCAGTGTGGCCAGGAGCGGCAGGGCCGTGCGTGCGCTGGTGCAGCAGCAGGTTGGACGAGTGCGTGAAGGTCTTGGGGCAGAGTGCGCAGCGGAAGGGGCGCTCGCCCGTGTGCACGCGCTGGTGCTGCCGCAGGTTGGTGCTCTGTGTGAAGCTCTTGCCACACACGCCACAGGCATAGGGCCGCTCGCCCGTGTGCACATGCCGGTGGCGCCGCAGGCTAGAGGAGTTCTTGAAGGCCTTGGGGCAGTCCGGGCACGGGTAGGGCCGCTCGCCCGTGTGCTGACGCAGGTGGTACTGGTAGTGCGACGACCACTTGAAGGCCAGGCCGCACTGGCTGCAGGTGAAGGCCCGAAGGCCCGTGTGCACGCTGCGGTGGATCTGCAGCAGTGACGAGCGCTTGAAGGCCTTGGGGCAGTCAGGGCACTGGTAGGGCCGCTCGCCCGTGTGGCCCCGCTGGTGGTAGAGCAGTGCAGAGGAGCCCTTGAAGGCCTTGGGGCAGTCGGGGCACTTGTAGGGCCGCTCGCCCGTGTGTGTGCGCTGGTGATGCAGGAGCCGGGACGACCACCTGAACGACTTGCCACACTCCCCGCACTCATACTGGGCTGCTGGCGTGGGAGCTGCGGGCGCCAGCTTCTCCCCAGGGCCCTGGGCCGCGGAAGCGGGTGCCATGTCTGCTTGGGAGCCAACCATCACACCTGGGGGCAGGGATTCCAGGTCAGGGCAGGCAGCCCGGGCCACCACCCCAAGTCACCTCGCGGCTGGGGACCTGACTCAGGAGTAAGGTTTCTAGGCCAGGTTTCTCCTTTGCCTGAGGTGGAGGAGGGTGTCGACCCAGACTTTCAGGGCCTAAGCAGAAAGTTGCCAGCAAGCAGGACCTGGCTGCCCAGCCCTTGGCACCCCACACCCAGCCCAGCCTGCCGTGAGAAGGCTGGGCGGAGCTGCCTCTCAAGCACCTGGCTACCTAATCTACTGTGCTCAATAACCCCTGGGTCGGTCGGCATGACACTGCACATCTGGGATCCTGCACTCAGGAGGCTGAAGCTGGGGGATCTGGAGTTCAAGGCCAGCCTGGACCACACAGTGAGACTCTATCTCAGAACACCAAAACAATTTTTCAATAATTTTTAAAAGGCCTTAGAGCTGGGCATGGTGGCACATGACTGTAATCCAGCACTCAAGAGGCTGAGGCAGGAGGATCTTTCAAGTTCAAAACCAGCCTTGGAAAAAGAAAAAACAGCCTTGGCTACAAAGTGAGCTCAAAGCCAGCCTAAGCCACATAGTGAGACCCTGTCTCAAAAAAGCAAACAAAAAACATGGAAGACCTAACCCAAACCCCACCTCAACACTTGTGCCCCACTTAACTCTTTTTTTGGATACCGGAAATCGAACTCAGGACCTTGTGTTTGCCAGGCAGGCGCTTGTGCCACTGAGCTACATACCTGGTTCCCACTACACTCTAAAGCTGTGGTGGTGACCGCACAGCACCCATGCCAGTCACCTTATTAACTGGAGCACTGACAAAGTAAAAACCATCAAAAGGGGGTGCTGTAACATTCCTGCCCCGCTGGTGGCTCTCAGCCGCGTAACTGTCCCCACCACAGGAATAGGAGGTGATGTTAGAAACACTGGCTTCCCTGTCAACTAGAGGTGCAGGGCCCGGTGAGCAGAGGCCAGGGACACTTCTCAAGGGAGACCCAGTCCAAGTGCAAGAGAAACTGCACTACCTCCCCCAGCGCTTGCCCGGAGCCCAGGCCCCTGGCCTCCCTCCCGAACCTCACTCTTTCCTGAGATCTCTCCAGGCTCCCCTTACCACACCCACACCTTTTCAGAGGAACTCTGCGAAGTGTGGCCCATGCCTGTGCTCCTAGCTACTCCAGAGGCTGAAGCAGAAAGAGGGAACGGTTGAACCCACCATGGACAATTCAGTAAGGCCTTGTCTGAAAATAAAAAGTGCTGAGGAAGGGCTGATGAGATAGCTCAGCAGACTAAGCGCCTACTTAGGCAAGTGCAGGGACAGGGGGTTGATCCCCAGCACCACAGGCCTTGCCGGCCCCAACCCGGGGCACACTAAGCCAACCACCGACCAGGTGGTGTGGCACACACCTGTAGTCCTGCTGTAATCCCAGGGCTGGGGAGGCTGAAAACAGGAGGATCACTACAAGTCCAAGCAGGCACAGTGAGACCCTACACTGAGAATATAACTCAGTGATGGAGAGCTTCCCACAATGCACCAGTCCCTGAGTTCAGTCCCCAGCACCACAAAACAACTACACTCCATGCCCAGATGCAGCCACGCCTCTCCTCTCTACCCCTTTGGAACAGATAAGCTGGCATCCATAATGGCTCCCACTTCAACTGCAGTGTGGCCAAAAGCTAGGTGAGTTTTCTGATTCTGTGCCTCCTTGTCAAAAACTTAAAACCCCACTCAACCAGTCTTCTCTGAAAACGGGAGGTTGGATCCTCCACGGCCAAGGATCCTGCCCACCTCGCTGCCTCCCCTCTCGGTAATCAAGTGTCAGGACACCCTGGTTTCCCCTTCGCCTGACGCGGAGGAAGGGATGGACTACAGTAGGAAGCTGGGCCCTTCTCACCAGGCCTTGATCCAAGGCACTCATCTCTGCCCTGGGCAGCTGCAGTGTCTACCTACCCCACGTCCCCACCCTGTATGTTCCCAGCGCAGCAGCCTCATAGACCCATCAGGAGTCGCCTTCCGCAGACCCCACTCCAGGCGGGGCCTCTGCTTCCGCGGCCTGCAGCTCATCCCTTCCATTCCCACTGCCGCCAAGCCCAACAAAGGAGGCTGCGCACCTCCCTCCACATCCTCAGCGCTCGTCTGGCCCGAGAGCTCCTCTGCGAGGCCTCCTCCAGCCGCCTGCCTCTCCAGCCGCCTGCCTGGGCTCTGCAGCCGTTCTAGCACTCCACCCTCCCGCCCACCCGTGCGCTCTCGGAGGCGCCTAGCACTGGCTAAACACGATACAGCAAGGGGCTCAGCCTCCAAACAGACCCTTCTCTGTCAGAGTCTCCTGCTTTCCTGGATTGAGCAGTGTCCCTGTCTCGACCCGCACGCCTGCAGTGTGGCAGCCGTACGCTGAGCCTTGCCTTGGAAGCTCCTAGTGTCACACCAGGAAACAGGGACCACCACTCCACTCCTTATCGCCTCTGCCTCCCCAGGCTAGAAAGTGAACGCCATGCAGCGGGCCTTCGTTTTGCCCACCGTTGTATCCTGGACCCTGCACAGCGTGGCACGGTGTATGCACTGTGAACGTGTCAGGAGCAAGAGGGGTAGGCTCAAAGGGTTTTCCCTTAAAAGACTAGCCCCCTTTCAAATGTGAGCAGCTCCGCGTAAGACAGATCACCCCAAGGATCTGCACTGCTTTTGAGAAGCGGGCACCGCCCTAGGCACGAGGCATCCACGCTCCAGAGTGGTGCGGGCCCATCCCGGGCTTTGGAGCGGGCTGCACTGCCCCTTTAAGAGGATGCGCCTGCCGCACACCCGTCTCCACCTTTGTTCCGACAAACCGGAGGTCGCACTACAGCAACAAAGATTCTGCAGTTTTCCTCGAGTGTCTAGGACACTGTCACTGGCCTTCAACGAATAACGTCCCAGGAAGGGGTGACATTAAGCCGGATGCTTTGTAAAATGTGCACCTTGCCACGCCCTCTACACGCAGCCCCTTGCCCTTTAAGAGGGTGGAGCCGAGGCCGAGCGCAGATCTCGGAGGCGAAACGGCGGCCTCCCCTTTAAGGCGTCCCTTCCGGTTTCACGCTCGCCGTTTCCCAAACTACTCCGCCCTCTGGCCCGGCCCCTCCCCCAGGGCGCCCCCGGTTTCTCACCTGCGCCCGGGTCGGGTGGACCCAGGGAAACCCCAGGCCTTGCCGCGGGGACTGACGGGAAGGTAGGCCGGCGAGAAGCGGCGGCAGCGAGGGGCCGGGGAGGGGCGGGGGCGCGCGCCCTCCCGGCGGCCCGGGCGCGAGGCACCCAACCTTTATCGGCGACCGCTCGCGCACACAACCCCGACGTCGCCTCGCGTCATGACGCATGCACGTGCGCCCCCACGCCAGGCCCCGCCCCTGACCCGCGGCCTGGCGCGTTTACCGAGTCGGTTCTGCGTGGGGCGCGTGGCGCGCTCCCTTCCCCGGGAAAGGCCGGGTTCCCCGGTGGCGGTCCGCCTTTGTAACCCTGGCTGGCCTCCTCCAACGACCCTCCTGTCTCAGCCTCCCGAGGGCTGGGATTACTGGCCACGGC